TCGGTTCACTGCAACCTTCACCTCCCGGGTTCAAGTGATTCTTCTGCCTCAGCCTCCTGAGTAGCTAGGATTACAGGCGCCCACCACTACGCCCAGCTAATTTTTTGTATTTTTAGTGGAGACAGGGTTTCACCATGTTGGCCAGGCTGTTCTCGAACTCCTGACCTCGTGATTCGCCTGTCTTGGCCTCCCAAAGTGCTGGGATTACACACGTGAGCCACTGCGCCCAGCCAAAAGCCCAATTTTTAACCAGTTGTCTGTGCAGCCGCGTCTGACCCACCTCAGGGTCCCTGAGCAGGAGGCAGCCTGGTGTCAGGATGGCCACCAGGCATGGATCTCAATGCTCACGTGGAGCCATGGCCATCAGGTACACAGGGACTTCCGCCTCTGGCTCACCAGCCTGCCCAGCAACAAGTTCCCAGTGTCCATCCTGCAGAACGGCTCCAAGATGACCATTGAGCCGCCACGCGGTGTCAAGGCCAACCTGCTGAAGTCCTACAATAGCCTTAGTGAAGACTTCCTCAACTCCTGCCACAAGGTGAGGCACACTTGGGCACACAGGCCCATCATACCTGGCCCCTGTCCCGGCTCCTCACCTCCCCTGCCTCCCACCTCCCCCAGGTGATGGAGTTCAAGTCTCTGTTGCTGTCTCTGTGCTTGTTCCATGGGAATGCCCTGGAGCGCCGTAAGTTTGGGCCCCTGGGCTTCAACATCCCCTATGAGTTCACGGACGGAGACCTGCGCATCTGCATCAGCCAGCTCAAGATGTTCCTGGACGAATATGATGACATCCCCTACAAGGTGGGCCTGGGGCAGACTGGGACTTGGGGGACTGGGCACTTAGGGGAGCCCTCACCCACCCACCCCATAGGTCCTCAAGTACACGGCAGGGGAGATCAATTACGGGGGCCGTGTCACTGATGATTGGGACCGGCGCTGCATCATGAACATCCTGGAGGACTTCTACAACCCTGACGTGCTCTCCCCTGAGCACAGCTACAGTGCCTCGGGCATCTACCACCAGATCCCACCCACCTATGACCTCCACGTGAGTCCAGCCCAAAGGGCTACACAGGAGGGGCCTGCTAGGCTGGGGTTCTAGGGTACCATGAGCACCTTGGTGCTGGGTGGGAGGAGACGCAGCCCCCACCCTCCATCAGCGTTCTTTTCATCAATCCATCCATCCCACGAAGACAGCCTTGGCGAGGGAGTCAGTCCCTGCCCACTGGGGCTCGCCTCTGTGAGTGAACTCCTGGTCAGCCACTTCCTGGGTAGAATTACTCAGTGGAGGCTTGGGGCAGCTCCTCCAAGATGGTAACAAGGCTCAGACTCCACAGTCAGGGAGGGCTGCCACAGAAATGATGCTTCCCCTAAGATGTGTGGGGAGAAGCCATGAGCCAGGGCTGGGTTGTGTGGGTCATCAGTGCAAAGGGCCTGTGGCAGGAAGGAGCCTGACAAATTTGGGCCACTGAATAGAGGGGCAGGGAATGGATGGCAGTAACAAGGGGGCTGGGAGGGAAGCAAGGGCCATGCCACACAGTGCCTCAGAGGCCTGGAGTCCGAAGGCAGGGACATGCATAAGGGTTATAAGCAGGAGTGACAAGTGGGGGATATGACAAGTGGGGATGTGCTCCATTGGAGGGTAACTCTGAAGGCTGGGGTGGAGCAAGCCAGGGGCTTCCATGTTGGCCTCCTCCCTCCTAGGGCTACCTCTCCTACATCAAGAGCCTCCCACTCAATGATATGCCTGAGATCTTTGGCCTGCATGACAATGCCAACATCACCTTTGCCCAGAACGAGACGTTCGCTCTCCTGGGCACCATCATCCAGCTGCAACCCAAATCATCTTCTGCAGGCGGCCGGGGCCGGGAGGAGGTGGGTGGTGTCAGAGGAAGGGGCCCAAGGGCTGGACGGGCTGGGCTCCACCATCCTGCCCACTCCCCTGTGGGAAGGAGCTCTGTGTATGTGGACTCACACAGGGGATAAGGGGGGCCAGCCTTGACCCCCGTGTTCCTTTGCCCCTGCAGATAGTGGAGGACGTCACCCAAAACATTCTGCTCAAGGTGCCTGAGCCTATCAACTTGCAATGGGTGATGGCCAAGTACCCAGTGCTGTATGAGGAATCAATGAACACAGTGCTAGTACAAGAGGTCATTAGGTAATCACCTCGCCACACCCCCGCCCCAAGTCAGCGGCCACTGGACTGTAGAGAAGTAACAACAGGAGTTACTATGGGCCAGGTGCCATGCCAAGTGCTACACCTCTAACTCAGCCATTTTTGTTGTTGAGACAGAGTCTCTGTCTGTTGCCAGCAGTGGTGTGATCTCAGTTCACTGAAACCTCCACCTCCCGGGTTCAAGCGATTCTCCTGCCTCAGCCTCCTGAGTAAGCTGGGACTACAGGCGTGCACCACCACACCCAGCTAATTTTTGTATTTTTAATAGAGACGGGGTTTCACCATGTTGGCCAGGATGGTCTCCATCTCCTGACCTCATGATCCACCTGCCTCGGCCTCCCAAAGTGCTGGGATTATAGGCGTTAGCCACCGCGCCCGGCCAACTCAGCCATATTTTTATTATTCACATTTTGTAGACGAGTAAACTGTGCCCCCAAAATATTCAGTAAGCTATCCCAGTCCAAGTTCACACATTTGCTAAGGGCCAGAGCTGGGATTCGTACCCAGGCCACCTGACCCAGTTCTCTGCTCTTAGTCTCTGTATTTTGCCATTGCTTTTCAGTCTGTGGCCTTGAGCTGGGGAGCATAGCTACTGCTATGCGACTCCAGCCCACTACCTATTCTCTTGCCACTGGCCTCACAGGTACAATCGGCTGCTGCAGGTGATCACACAGACACTGCAAGACCTACTCAAGGCACTCAAGGGGCTGGTGGTGATGTCCTCGCAGTTGGAGCTGATGGCTGCTAGCCTGTACAACAATACTGTGCCTCAGCTCTGGAGCGCCAAGGCCTACCCATCGCTCAAGCCTCTGTCCTCATGGGTCATGGACCTGCTGCAACGCCTGGACTTCCTGCAGGCCTGGATCCAAGGTGGCATCCCAGCTGTCTTCTGGATCAGTGGCTTCTTCTTCCCCCAGGCTTTCTTAACAGGCACTCTGCAGAATTTTGCCCGCAAATTTGTCATCTCCATCGACACCATCTCCTTTGATTTCAAGGTCTGGGCACAGCCAGAGCCGGGTCAGGTGACAGGCTAGGGTACAGCCCAAGGAGGAGAGGCTCTGAGGCCATGGTTGGTTGGCAGTTGGGGGCTCCCTAAGCCAGGGCATGGAAAGACCCAAGCCAGAAGAGGCCATGAGTCCCAGGAACGGGTCTGGCCTGGGTCCATCAGAAATCCACAGAGGCAGGGCACAGACCACAGGCCATGGGCTAACGTGGTAGGTACATGATGATGGGCAGGCAGGCAGCATTAGGCAGAGCTCAGAAGGGAGTTTTGTGCCTCCTAACCCAGATTCTGGGTATTGTTGTGTGTGGGGGGTGTGTCTGTGTCTACCCACAGGTGATGCTTGAGACACCATCGGAGTTAACACAAAGACCCCAAGTAGGGTGCTATATCCATGGATTATTCCTGGAAGGTGCCCGCTGGGATCCAGAGGCCTTCCAGCTGGCCGAGTCTCAGCCCAAGGAGCTGTACACAGAGATGGCCGTTATCTGGCTCTTGCCAACACCCAACCGCATGGCTCAGGACCAGGACTTTTACCTGTGCCCCATCTACAAGACACTGACTCGTGCTGGTATGAGGCCTGGGGTGGGAGCCTACACTATGCGGGGGGACCCAGGACTAACCCAGCCCGGCCCAGCCCAAGCCAGTCAGACTGATCCAGGTTAGCTGAACAAGGAAGGACAACAGAGATTTGGGCCAGGCCAGCAAGCAGCAGGCAGGTTAATGCCCAAGGCCTGCCATCTGGCTGTGGGGAGCACCCCTGAGCTCCTATCCTACATGCCTCCCTCAGCAGGCCCACCTTGGGCCCCAAGAGCCTACAAGCCCCAGCCTGTCATTGGGAGTTCAGAGGGGTAACTGAGGCCCAGAGCAGGAACTTGTCTGGACTGGGTCCATCGGAGAATGAAAAGTGGCATCAACTCTGCCATCCCTATCTTCAGTCCCCAATACAGTAACCCTGGGCAGGCTTGAACCCTGGCCAGACCCCCTCACCAGGCAGGCTTCCTCTTGGGTCAGGGCCCCCTCCCTGTCCTCAGCTTAGCCTGCCCACTGCCCTGCCCCTACGCTATCCCTGCTCTAGTAGTAATAGGGCATGACCTAACCCATCCCCCTCCTTGCCCATTCCAGGAACACTATCAACCACAGGACACTCCACCAACTATGTCATTGCTGTGGAGATCCCCACCCATCAGCCCCAGCGACACTGGATAAAGCGTGGTGTGGCCCTCATCTGTGCCCTGGACTACTAGACTGAGACAGAAGGGCTGAGGCCATTAAAGCTGAATTTTCTAAGCAGTCCAGCTGTGCCTTAGCTGCTTGCATGAGGACCCCTCTGCAGGATTCATTGCCAGTGGGGTAGTGAGGGGCTGCAGCAGCCTCAGCAGGTGATGCAGTTGGCAGAGGAGAGCAGGACAGAGGTGGCAGCTTTGACCTGCTTTACCTGTCCAAACGCAACAAGGAAGAGATGCCCAGCGCCCTCCCAGGGAGAACACACCAGGCAAGATTAGAGGCCCCCCTGCCTCTTTGACCCAGAGTCCCAGCACCTCTCCAGGTTGCAAAGCCACAGATTTGGTGAAAGCCATGGCCCTCTCCCCAGAAAGTACACCCTGTCTACAGTCCACCTGAAGCCCTCCTCAGCTCAGGTCCAAATCCCAGGCCTAGGATCCCAAGGATCTCTGGCCCAAGACAGTTGGACACTCAAAGATCATATACTTTTACCTTTCTGGTCCCCGGGCCCTGAGCACACGAGGTCTAGTAAGGCCCCCCCTCCCACCACACACATAGCCCAGCCTCCACAGCTCAGGCCAGCAACCACAGGAGGGTTCATTTCTCAGGAGATTCTTAGGAGAGTTTTATTCATTGATCCAGTATTTACAGGGGCTAGAGGGGTCAGGCTGTGCTCAGCCCAGAGGCAGCTGCCACACTTGCCGGCACCCCCCACTCAGTCACTATGTACAGATAAAGGGGCCTGCTTGGATCACCTTTTTCAAAACCATCTGGCAGAGGCCGTGGGGCTGTGTTGGGGCCTGGACTCCAGAGGCACTGCTGGGCCCATTACCCCTTGGCATCAGGCCCTCTGGAACACAGGGGCTCCAACTGGTTGTCTTGATCCTGCTGTCCCCACCCTGAGTGCCTTGCAGAAGCTGAGGAAGCTGGAGTAGCAGGGAGAGCTGAGGGTGCCAGCTTCCTATAAGCAACCCTGTCTCTGCTACCCCTGAGAGGGAGACATGGTAATACTGAGGGGCTGGACAGAGGCTCCTCTGAGCCCCAAGCTCCAGGGACAGAGACCTAGAGCCCAATTTAGGCCCATATCTAGGGCCACAACACTGAAGGTGAAGAGCCCCAGAACCTTGCTGTGGAGAGCAGTCTTGAACAGCCTGGCTAGAACAAGGAAGACAGTTCACAGGCCACGGAACAGTTCCCACATGCTCTGCTCAGGCCATAGGATCCCAGCAGCCTGCTCACCCCAACCCCACTGGGACACCCTACTCCCAACCCAGCCCAGTGCTGGGTCCCTGAGTTTGGCACTCTCCTAAGAGGAACGAAGAGAGAAGGCCTGGCTTCCTTACGACAGGGACAGGCTGGTGGCTGAGGCTAGAGCAGCAGGGCCCAAGGCCCACCCAGGCCCCCAGCTGGGACCCTGTAGTTGCGACCCTGGCATGATATAAGGACCTGGGCCCACCAGGACAGCTCCTAGGAGAGAAAGCATAGTCAGGTAGGAACCTATGTCAACATGGTGGCATGCTGGGTTGGAGCCCAGAAAAATAGACTATCTCTGATAGGTAAAATATATATTCTGCTGCCCAGGCAGAAGGGCCAGGTCCTGCTGCTCCACAGCCGGCTGTGGAGGAAGCTGCAGTACCTGGCTGTGCCCCAACTCCAGATGCTGCCTCCTGAGCACTATGGGGCTGATCTGCCCTGTGGCAGGCCTCAGGGCACGATGGAAGGAATGTGGCCTGGTTCCTCCCATTCCCAGGGCCTGGACACTCTGGCTGGGACTATTCAGTAATACTTGGAAAAGGGGAAGTGGGGCAGGGAAGGACCCTGGTGAGGGCCACACGGCAAGAGTGGGCTGCAGAGTCGGGGCCAGCAGTCCTCACTGGCGCTTGGCCTTATAGGGGCGAGAGCGTTTCCGCCGGTCAGGCTTCCGCTGCTTGTGGAGCCGGCCGATGCTGACCCCTTGGCGCCGCCGCACGGAGATGTTCTGCTCCACTAGGTTGGCCAGCATGCCTGTGGAGAGGCAGAGACCCTTGAGCAGGTGCTGGCTGCCTCAGGCCAGGAGCTAAGGTTCTCATGGCCCTCCCTGTGCCCCAAGGTCTGCTCAAGCCTCAGGAGAGGCCAGGGGAGGGAAGCTGAAGGACATGGCCCTCAGCAGGGCATTCCAGTTAAGCCAGCAGCACATCGCCTCACCTTCCTGAGCCAGCATGGAGATAAAGGTGCAGATGAACTCATCGTAGTTGTGGGTCCTTCTCTGGTCATCAATCTGTAGGAGAGGAGAAGGCTGAGAGCACTGGAGCCAATCTTGCCAGAGCAGCCACCAGCAGACCTTGGGAGAGGCCAGATCAGGCAACTGGAGAGATCACCCACCTTGAACTTCTTCCTCTTCTCTACCTCTTCCTTGAGGCACGCCTCATAGTTTGCAATCTCAGCCTCCACACACTTTAGCAGTGCCAGCAGCTCCTGCCAAAACCCAGCATTGCACCTCTGATGGGGGCTGGCCAGCAATAAAGCCCCACGAGCAATAGGCAGCTAGAGGCAAGGATGAGCAGCGAGTCCATGCCTACAGAGGCCCCTGCCACCACCCAACCCAGAAAGTCTTCCTGGCACATGGCTCCAGCCAATCTTCGCACCAAAGTTCCCATCAAGAACTTGGCACCCGGGCAGGAGGAGCTCAGGCCCTACCCTCCACCAGGATTAAAGGAGAAAGCCACAAAGGAGGCTCACCTTGGGTGAGTACTTCTCCCCACTCAAGGGCTCGCCAGGCCTCACCAGCCCTGTCTTCTCTCTGCTGTCCGTGGCTTCCACGACCTCCTTCTCCACTGGGCTGCTGGACCCCTGGCTGCCTTGGATTGGTCTGATGGAGGGCGAGGAACCCTTCCCACCCTCTGGGAAGAGAGGTCACAAGAAAATCATTAGAGTGCAGGACACTTTGTGGTCACTTGGCCACTTCCCTTCTCCCTCCTGGGTGCACCAAGTGGCCAGTGAGCCAGTCCAAGGCCCACCTGTCAGCGCCAGGGGACTCAGCACCCCATCCTCAGCCAGGTGCAGCAGGCCTGTGCTGATGACAGGACCCAGATCGCGGACAGCACGGTTGTAGCGTATGCAGTCAACACGCAGCAGGCTGTCATCCTCTCCAAAAAGCACCTTGGAGATGTGGGAGGTGACAGGGCTGGAGGGCCGCGTCGGGTTGGCCGAGCGGATGGGCGAGCGCAGTGGCGAGTTGAAAGCACTGCCAATCTCAGAGGCCGTGTCCGTACTCTCATTGCTGGGGGTGGGCGAGGGCTGCGAGTGTGTGGGCACTGCCACAGCTGGACTCCCAGCCCCGCTGCCAGTCTTGATGGACAGAGGAATTGACAGGTCCTTCTGGGACTCTTTGAGCTTCTCAGCCAAGACGTTGATGGTGTTGGGCTGCAGCACTGACAGCTGCCCATCAGCAGAACCGCTCAATGCCCCTGGCTTCCCTGTTCCCTTCCGCTTATACCTGTGGGGCCGGAGAAGATGTGAAGCAAGGGAACGGGCCAGGTGACCATACCCAGCAGTACCCAGAATGGCTTAAACACATCCTGACCTCCAGGGGCTGACCCTAAAACTCCTTATACTTGGTCTAAGCAGCTTGAACTAGCCTTGCTAAGCCTGGCATCAAGTTCTGTGAGCTGCAGCCAAGTGTCCTCAAAAGACACTTCCTCTATTCCAGCCATCTCACTCCTGGCCTTTTGCCAATGCCCTGTGTTCCAGCAAAGCTGCCTCCCCACCACCCACATCTCCATCCCTGCAACCAATCCTTCAAGGCCTGGCTGAAAGGCCACTTCCAACAGGACATGATCTATGCTTATATGCTTACCCCCCAGTCCACCAAAAACTTCCTGGACACTTGGGGTCAGCCCCATCGTGACAGCCTCCCCCAGGGCCCCAAATTTTGCAGGTGCTCAACATTATCTGCTGCAGGGCATTCTCAGACACAGACTGAGATATTCAGAATGAGATCTGAAGCACCCAAAGCCTGGTAGCCTTAGAAAGCTGGGGCTGACCTAATGGCAGAGTTGGTATTCTGCACGTCATCCTCCTCGTCATCCTCATAGTCATCCTCATCATCTGAGTACTGCTGGGGTGGGCGGACTGGAACTCGGCTGCGGCCCACACCGGCCGCCAGGTCTTCTTCCTCCTGGGACAAAGACCAGGGCAGTTACAAACAAGCACTGCTCGGCCCAGGCTGAGCCTAGACACTCACAGCCAGAGAGAAAGCCAAACATGGTTTTCCAGACTGAGTCAGCGGAACCCCTCCAGGTGTTCCACGGCCTGTCCTTGGCTTGTGGGGTGGCTGCCACCCACTTACACTGCATAGAAACCCACGGAGGGGTTCTAAGAGAAACAGAGTGCCCTGAAACACAAGCCTTTATTTTGCCAGTAAAACCCAACCCATAAAGTTGTACCAAGGAGCGTGACCTAAACATTTAATCCCACAGTCATGTAAGTAGATTAAATTCAAAGGAATTCTCCCTGCCTCCCTAAGCCCCTGCTGTTGTGAGGCCTTTTTGTATCAGGCAGAGGAATCTAGCATCCCAGGCCCAGGCAGCTTGACCCAGCCATGCCAAGGGTGAACACCAAGGAACCACATGGGGAAATTGCCTGTTGTAGCCTCTCAAGAGAATCAAGTAGAGAATCCTGCAAGGGTGCTCCCAGCTTACCTGCATGGGGGACTTGGCATAGTTGTGATTGTCTAGAAAGGCTGGCAGCCGCTGGACAATGGGAGTGGGGTTGGGGGGAACACCGTTGAGGCTACTGCCTGGAGGCTTCACCACCAGCTTGGGTTTGCTGGGAGGGCTATGGGATGGGGCTTGTGCGCATGAACCAGCCGCCTCCTCTGCACCATCTGAGACAGGGCAAGAACACAGGCAGGACCTCCAGTAGGATCTCCAAGAAAAGCTCACGGTCTCCCCAGCCCTGTGGAACAGCACTTCCCAGGGAAGAACAGCCGAGCCAGCCGGTGGAATGGAAGTCAGCAAGCTCTAAGTCATGATCCCGCAATGAGACAGGGAAAAGAATGAGATGGGAAAAAAAAAGAGGCAGAAAAAAAAATGCCTCTAGAGAAAACTAGAAAGGGAGTGTACATTACAGAGAAGGGCCCAGGGGCCTGTGGTAATAGCAGCCCTTTACAGGTGCCTTTTTTTTTTCTTTTTTTTTTTTTTTTGAGACGGAGTCTCACTCTGTCACCCAGGCTGGAGTACAGTGGCCGGATCTCAGCTCACTGCAAGCTCCAGCTCCTGGGTTTACGCCATTCTCCTGCCTCAGCCTCCCGAGTAGCTGGGACTACAGGCGCCCGCCACCTCGCCCGGCTAGTTTTTTGTATTTTTTAGTAGAGATGGTTTCACCATGTTAGCCAGGATGGTCTCGATCTCTCAACCTCGTGATCCGCCCATCTCGGCCTCCCAAAGTGCTGGGATTACAGGCTTGAGCCACCGCGCCCGGCCTACAGGTGCCTTTCTTTAGGGAAGGACTGCTCTCCCTCTACCTTCTGCCAGGGGAAGAACACTGCCCAAGGACATCCCCAGAAAAAGACTTGCCTGGCTTAGGCCTCCCAGGTCAGACATTAGGGGGTGGCTCTGAGGCCCACAAGAGGTCCCAAACCCCCTAGTACCTGTGTGGGTGCCCTCAGTGGCTGCAGGGGCCCTGTTTGCTTCCAGCACCAGCGGGGACTTGTTGCTGGCTGACTTGGACTCCTCAGGCAGCTGTGACTCTTGAGACTTGTGGGTCTGAATCAGCTCCGGCTGTGTTACTCTTATCAGCTAACAACAGAATCCAAGGCTCAGAGGAGGAAGGGTAGACCCGGGCTTCTACCTTAAACAGCTAAGGGCTGAAGACCTAAAGGAATAATGGCCTTGGCTCTACCCATTCACTCACAGGGAAATAAAACACCCAAATGCAAACTTCCTTTTAGAAGCTATTCTCCCTCCCCACTCCAAGTCCCACCTTTCCCATAAGGGGAGCAAAGAAAAGATGTGGTTAGCTGAAGCCCAGATCTACAAAAGAGTGTGTTCGGGAATCAGAGACAAATGTTGTGGGGGAAGGGAGGAGGAATGCAGGGAGGGTTGGGCTGGGCAGGGGACAGGGAGAAAGGACACCTACCTGCTGCAAAGCCTCTAGTACTGTCTGACGGTTCACCTTCAGCACATGCAACCTGGCCTCATACTTGATCCTGCGATCGGGCACCACTGCCATCAGGTTGAAGCGGATGTCGTGGTAGGGCTCCCTGCAGTCACAGCCGCAGCCGTGAGAGCAGCTCCTGCCCCGGCCCCGCCATCAGGTTGAGGCAGATATCCTGGCAGGGCTCCCTGCAGTCACACCTGCAGCTGTAGGTATAGGCCCCACCCCAACAGGCAGGCAGCGACTAGCCATACACGCCAGGCACCTGAGCTGGTACCTTCCAACAAGCTGTATGAGGGGCCTATCAGGAAGTGAACTAGCAGACTTGGGCTGCCTAAGGCTCCACCAAGGCCTGCCCCTCCCCCAGCCCAACGAGGAGCAGGCCACAGGCAGCCCAGGCAGGAAATAGGACAAGGAGTTGAGAGCCCATGATCTAAGCCTGATCTTGCCAGATTCACCATATGGCCTTGCAATTTACAAATCACCTGGATACTCTCTGTCCCTCCCAAAGCAGGTACAGCTCCAGAAGGTAGAACAGGGCAGGTGCAGGGCCCTTACCCTGCAGTGGCGAGGCCAATACGCTCCATGATGACCCGCCGGGCCTTGTCTGTCCACTCCTCATCCTCCCCCCAGGGCCCTGGTGGAGACCAAGACAAGGAATCAGCGAGAAGGAAACCCTGAGTTTGGGCAGGCCAGCAGTGGGAAGGAAGACACGGGAGAGCAGTTGAGCCAGGAAGTCAGGAGCTGGTCAGGCAATATGGTGCAGGGTGAAACCCCAGCCAGGGCCAGGTGTCGGTACCCACAACCCCTGCCACTGGGTCCACATACCAGAGGGCCCTGAGCCCCAGCTCCCTAGGAGGTAGGCAGAGACACCCAACGGGCCTCCAGCTCATGGTGCCTACCATGGTCAATGGGGTAGACCTTCAGCCCATCCAGCTCAAAGAGCCGGCCTGTGATAGGCACATAGCTGACAAAGTGGAACGCCTCCATGGTCCGCACTGCACTAAGGCCATTCTGCTTCTCAGGGAGGTGGCGTGGCTCGGGCCTGGGGAAGGACAGAGTTAAGACCCAAAAAATGATACTCCCCCTACTCGCACCCCACATCAGCTCCCACAGCTCCCACACACCTGGCATGGCTATTATGTGCCTTGGCCAACTCCGGGGCATTGCCAATCGCATATCCTTTGCTCTACGGGGAAGAAAATAAGGCTGTATCAGAATAATTTCTCCTCAGGTAGGACTATGGTTGGAAGGCAAAGCTTCAGAGAGCAGCCTGGAGGCATTCCAGATGAACTTTCTTAAAAGGTTTGTCAGGGCAGAAAAGAGCTCTGGAGTCCCAAAGAGATGGACTGTGCTGGCCTTGCATGGTAATTCGTGGATACTAGGAAGCAACATGGCCTGAGAGGAAAAGTCCTGACAGAGAAGATTCTGACATGGTGTGACTTAAGGAAAGTCTCCTCCTTCCCTAAGCCTGTCTCCTTTCCCCACAACTGTGCCTAAAAACAATGGCCTTACACAATTTATTTAAGAGTCTAATGTAATATAAATGATCATTTGAAAAAGAAACAAACAAAAAAAAACCAGCCTAATAGTATCCAGTATCATGTGGTAGCATTCCCAGTGGCCCTCAGGGTCAGATCTGCCCAGTTGGCTGTGAGCCAGGATGAAGGCACTGCAGCCTACCTCAGGGCTGAAGCCCTTAGTGAAGTCCTTCATGCGACTCAGGGTGGGTCCCAGGTCCACGTTGCTGCAGTTCAGGAGCACGCTCAGCAAGGCATGAGTAGCACAAGAGTTGGGTATCAGCTGTGAAATCAAGAATAGTCACGCATACACAGTACCCCTCACTGCAAACCACAAGCCCACATACATCAAGAATGGGGATCCAAAGCAGGTCAGTCATATCTGGACAACTCCCCTTCTCAGCTCCATCTTTGCCTAATGTTTATTTATTTAACAAGCACCTACCAAATACGCACTGGGTATCTGAGGACACAGAGAGTGGACTCACATACCCCCCTACTCTGAAGCTGTTCCCTTTAATGAATTAGAGCTCAGTTCCTTCTGCAAGGGTTTCTGTAGCCACCGCCCCTAGAATCTGCCTATCTCCTCTTTCTGTCTTCCTCCATTACCACTTCCCAAGCAAAAAAATGGCAGCGTCCCAACCTCCAAACAAAGCACAGAGTCCAGCAGACCTGGTGGGCAAAGAACATGTTATTCACAATATCATCATCAATCACGGACGTATCATCCACCAAGGTAGAGACCTTTCGCCGGGACCGGCGCTCTTCGATCCATTTGAACAGGAAGATAAATCCATATACAGGGCTGGGGGAAGTAAGAAGCAGAGCCAAATCAGCCAAAGGGGAGAAGGCAATCAGCATCCCCTTATTTCTCCCACTAAGCCTTTGCACTGCGTCATCACTCAGGTGTCCTTGCTGTGATCCCACCTCTCCCCTGGCTTCTTCCCAATACTGTGTCTGAAGTGGCCTTGTGCTCTCATACACCAAAGGCCTGCCACAGGCAGAGCTAAGCATAAGCTTCTGGCTGTGATGCTCCGGGAGTCCACCCAGTCTCCTTATGAAGTCTATGGTTCTGGGTAAGAGAAGAAAAGCTGGAACTGAGGGTCAAGGATGGGACAGGGTAAGAACACAAAGTAAGACAAGAACAAAAACTCTGATGAGGAACTGAGGCACTAATTGTCACTTGTGGGCCCCAATGAAGTCAGGAAAGCAAATGAACACCTACACCAGTCTCTTTTGTTCCAGGAAATTAAAGAAGACTTCTTGGTTCAGTCACTGTTGCTACTGTTGCTACTCTCCTACACCTCTATTCTGCAGGCCCACTGGGACAAGATCCTAAGTGTGGGCACCCAGGAGGGGCCTTGTCACCCCAACCAAGCAATACAGGATAACTTTGTGTCAGGATTAAAGCCAGGCACACATGGGCACACTGAAATTAATACATTACACAACCGCACAAAAGGCACTGTGTGCCCTGAGTCTTCCTGCTGCAAGGCCAAGAAAGCAGCTGAACCAAAGGATGGTTAGGGGTAGGGAGCGGGCTGCTACAAAAAGGGAAGCGCTAAGGAAAGATGGGGAGAAAAGAAAGTATCAGTTTGATCAGGAGGCGGGCACTCAAAGAGCAAGGCTGCTTCTTTATGTCAGATTTCATAACGTAGGGTTCCTGGCACTGCCTTCCCTAAGGGGCCTGTTCTCCGGGACCTTCCCCAGCACTCTGGGTGTAAGGGGCAGCCCTGGTGTACAGCCACTTACCCCTGGCATTTGCTCTGAAGGTCGTAGATCTCCTCCACTTGCACCCCTTTGACACCTGCGATGAGGAAAGGAAAGCAGTAGGGAAGGACAGACTCTGGTGAGTGAGGGCGCAGGGGTGGGCCCCCACATCCCCGGTCAGGCAGGCAGAAGAGGCTCTTACCGAAATCTTCCACCAGCAAGGTGAAGAGGCCTGGGTGGGGCGACAAGAGGAGGGGGTGATGGTCAGGCAGGCGCGTTCCGGGCCCATCCGGCCTCCCCAGCCCCTGGCCCTCCCGGTCCCCTCCTCACCCGGGTCGCTCTCCAGCTCCAGCCAGCCCTTATTCATCTTCCCGCGGGGCGGCCCCTCAGCGCCATGTCCAGGCCCTCCCGCCCCACCGCTGCCCCAACCGGGAG